ACAGGCCTTTAATCCCAGCACTTGGGAGTCAGAGGCAGGTGGATCTCTGTGAGTTTGAGGCCAGCCTGGACTACATAGTGAGTTCCAGGTCAGCTGGGGCTACAGGAAACCCTGTCTCGAAAAAGACCACCCCCCGAAAAAAAATTTTTTTTTAATTTTTATTGTTTTATTTTGTGTATGAGTGTATTGCCTGCAGTGTATAAGTGCACCCATTATTGTACAATGCATGTGGAAGTCAGAAGAGGGCAATGGATCCCCTGGAACTGGTTACAGATGGTTGTTAGCCAGCATGTGGGTGCTGGGAACCGAACCCAGGTCCTCTTCAAGAGTGGACAGTGCTCTTAACCACTGAGTTATCTCTCCAGCCCCACTTCATTATGTTCTTAATAATGGTTCTAGCTCTAGCTGCAAATTAACATCAATTGAGGAACTTTTTTATTTTTATTTTATGTGTATGAGTGCATTGCCTGCATGTATGCAAGCGTACCTATTGTCATGCAATGCCCAAGAAGGTCAGAAGGAGGCATCAGATACCCTGGAACTGGAGTTACGAACAGTTGATAGCCTCCATGTGGGTGCTGGGAATCAAGCCTGGGTCCTCTGCAAAACCAGCCAGTGCTCTTAACTGCTGAGCCATCTCTCCAGCCCAGTTGAGGAGCTTTTTAGAACACATATTCCACTACAATTAAGCCAGAGTAGTTGAGAGTACTTAAAAAAAAAAAAATCTTCTGCCGGGCGTGGTGGCACACGCCTTTAATCCCAGCACTAGGGAGGCAGAGGCTGGCAGATGTCTGTGAGTTCAAGGCCAGCCTGGTCTATATAGTGAGTTCCAGGACAGCTGGGGCTACAGGGAGACCCTGTCTCAAAAAAAAAGAGAAAATCTTCCTGGGGGGTTTGGATAGATAGCTCAAGCATTTAAGAACATGTATTAAAGCAAGCACCCCCCTTAACTGCTGAGCTCTCTCTAGCCCCTTTAAATCAAAATATTCAATGAAGAAAATAAACCTGACACCCAAGTTTAAATCCCTGGAACCTTGGTAAAAGGCCAGGCACAGTGACACATGTCTGCAATCTCAGTACTCCTATGGCAAGACAAGAAGTGGAGACACTGCACAAAACTAGAGACCCTGTCTTCAACAAGGTTGAGGACCGACATCTGACGTTGTCCTCTGACCTCCACACATACTATGGCAAGTGTCTGCCCTCACACACAAACATGTACACAAGAATTTTTTTTTTTTTTTTTTTTTTAAGAAAGGCTAAAATCGGGGCTGGAGAAATGGCTCAGTGGTTAAGAACACTGACTGACTGCTCTTGCAGAGGATCGGGGTTCGATTCCCAGCACACCCACATGGTGGCTACGAACCGTCCTTAACTCCAGTTCCAGGGGAACTGGAAGCCCTCTTCTGACCTCTGTGGCATTGCATGACATGGGTGCACTCACATACATGCAGGCAATACACTCATACACATAAAATTAAAAAAATAATAAAAAAAAAGGCTAAAATCATAAACCAGCATACATACATAGAAGCTGCTCGAGTACTTGATAATCGGAGATCTCGAGCCAGTTTTTCTTGATTTTCTTCAACATCAGATTCTGAGTTTTCCAATGAAGACTGTGTCTGTACAGCTGTTTTCAAGATCTCACTTAACTCAGAGGACAGACTAATACCATCTTCTTCTTCTTCCTAAAAAGATCCAAACAGAATCAAACAGGTTGTGACTTACGACTTTCTTGTTAAGAACAAAATTAGAGAATGTCTTTTTATGTGTATGACTGTATTGCCTGCATGTATGTAAGTGCCCCCATGTCATGCAATGACAGAAGAGAGCATTGCAATGCCTGAAACTGGAGTTACGGATGGTTGTTATCCTCTATGTGGGTGCTGGGAATCGAACCTGGCTCCTCTGGAAGAACAGCCAGTGCTCTTAACTTCTGAGCCATCTCTCCAGCCCCCAAAAATGTCTTTCTAAAATGGTTACCTTGATTTCTTCAAAAAAATGTGCAGTTTCTCCTTCTATGATCGGCTGTAACATTTGACCCCGACGCTTTGTGGAGGGAGATCCCTATAACAAACAATAATACCAAATTTATATTTCAAGTATTTAAAATACTTAGTGAACTTTTCACATATTATATTGCATATACTAAAACTGAATTCAGTTCTTAGCAGCAAAAAACAAGCAAACTTTAAGTATAGAAAAGTCTTAAAGGAATATGTATGTATATGTATGTGTGTCTATGTGTTAAATTCTACAGAAAAACATGTTATACATAGTTTAGTTATTTTTCTTTGCTTTATTTCAACTCTTTTTGGTTGTTTGAGATCGGGTCCGATGATATAGCCCAGTCTGGGTATGTGGATAATGAGATTCTCCTGCCTCATCTCTCTCACCGGCTATGATTACAGACATGTGCTACTATGCCCAGCTGAAGTAACTTTCTTCTTTGGTCGAGTACTCTTTTATAGTCTTCTTTAAAAAGAAAATGAAACAAATCAAAACCAAAAAAAAATTTTAACGAAGATATAATAACACACTATAAAAATTCATTGTAGTGCTGAGCATGGTGGCACAAGCCTTTAATCCCAGCACTCAGGAGGCAGAGGTAGGCAGATCTCTGTGAGTTCAAGGCCAGCCTGGTCTACATAGCGAGTTCCAGGACAGCTGGGGCTACAGGGAGACCCTGTCTCAAAAAGACCACAAAAAAAAAAAAAAAAAATTCATTTCGGGAAAAAAAAAAAAAAAAAAAAAAAAAAAAAAAAAAAAAAAAAATTCATTCATCATAGCATGCTAGGTATCACTCCACCCCCGAGCTTATATTCCAACCCCCCTTCACTTCTTATTTTTTTGTTTTGTTTTGTTTTTGAGACAGGGTCTCCCTGTAGCCCCAACTGGCCTGGACTCATTATGTGGTCCAGGCTGGGCTCAAACTCACAAAGATCCACCTGCTTCTGCCTCCCAAGTGCTGGGATTAAAGAAATGTGCCACCCCGACACGCCCTCCTTCACTTTTTAGGAAAAAAAATTATTTTGAGGCAGGGTCTTGCTAAGTTGCTCTAGCCGGCATCAAATTTGCAACCCTTCAAGAATAGTACTTGATCTGTACCGAAGTATTAAGAGTGTATGTTTTTCATACTGTTGGCATATCCACTGTCCCAGCTACTCTGCAGCTGAGGTTGGGAAGATCACTTGATCTCACAAGTTTAAAACCAGCTTGGACAACAAAGCAAGACTCCACCTTTTTGGAGACAGGGTGTCCTTGTAACCTCTGCTGGCCTGGAACTTACCATTAGACAAGCCTGGCCTCAAACTCACAGAGATCTACTTGCCTCTTGCCTCCCAGCCAAGACTCCATCTTTAACTCATAAATTTAAAAAGAGAGTACACACATACAAATATGCACTGCTTGCTGGGCACATGCCTTAAATGCCGGCAGAGGAAGGCAGATCAAGGCCAGCCTGGTCTATATAGCAAGTTCCAGGCCAGCTGGGGCTACCCTTTCTCAAAAAGGTCAGGAAGACTCTCAAAAAGACCAAAAAACAAAACAAAACAAAAACAACAACAACCCCCTCCAAATATGCACTACTTAAAAAATGTTTTATTACATTTATTTTGTATATGATTGTATGTGTATACGTGGGGGTATGAGCATGCCATGGCATTCATGTCTACAATTACAGAACTCCTATAGCAACACAGGGGGTAGAAGCAAGCCTTCTTGCTGACTGTGAATAAACAAGTTAGATTGAATTGAATAGATTCTATTAGAAAAGATTAACTTGTTCTTTAAAACATAGGGCTAGCAAGCTGGCTCAACAGATACAGGCTCTTGCTGCCAAGCCTGAAAACCTCAGTTGGATCCCTAGGACCCATATAGTGGAAGGAGAGAACTACTGTAAATTGTCCTCTGACCTTCACATAGACCCGACACACACATCCACACGCACACATGCACACGTGCTAAAAAAAGTTCGAAACCCACTTTATGTGTGTTTATTATAATGCAACTAGAAGAACACCCTCATGATGACCATTACAAAACTTTTCAGAGATATGAACTGAAATGGAAATAGAAAGGAACTAGGTGAGCGGACATAAGAGTGTTACTTCTGCCCCTTATGTTGATAACTGTGCTGATTAGGTTTTGTCTACTTGACAAGAGGCAGGGAAAGAGGAAACTTCAATTGAGGAATTTCCTAAATCAGACTGGCCTGTAGGCATGTCTATTTTGATGAGCATGGGATGTAGCTGATGCTGGGCATGATGGCACACACCTTTAATGCTAGCCCTCAGGAGGAGATCAAGACCAGCCTGGTCTCCCATAGCAAGTTCCGGGCCAGGTGGGGCTATACAAAGTCCCTGTCTCAAAAAGTGAATAAAACAAAATACGACAAAAGTAGCTGAGCAAGCCAGGAGAAGTAAGCCAGTAAACAGCATTCCTCCATGGTTTCTGATGGACTGTAACCTATAAGCCAAATACACACTTTCCTCCCCCAAGTTGCTTTTGGTTAGTGTCTTATCACAGTAACTTTGTACACATCTTTACTGGATCTTGGTCTCTATCATCACCAAGGAAGAAAGACTATCATAGTCTAACTGTTGTGATTTTGCTAGGATTTAATGCCATACGCATGTGAGTGCTGCCAGAGGTGGCTAGAAAAGAGTTGCAGGCATTTCCTATCCCTTTAAAATTAGTTATCTCAACTATCAGTTTTTTTAGCCTTGGCTACGTATTTCTCCAAAATACTACTAAAAATTTCTGTTGCTTCTTTTTGTCTGAAAAAAAAAAAGTTTTACACCTTGGTAAACTGAACTAAAGAAATATTTGCATCAGGCAAATCATACCTGTAATTATAGCACTTGGAAGGCTAAAGCAAAAAGACTTATCACAATTTCAAGACCAGTCTAGGTTATTTAGTGAGCTCCAAGCTCACAAAATAGCCAGGAGTGGTGGTACATGCCTTTAATCCCAACACTCCAGAGGCAGAGGCAAATGGATCTCTTGTGAGTTCCAGGCCAGCCTGGTCTACATAATGAGTTCCAGACCAGCTAGGGCTACGGGAGACCCTGTTTCAAAAAGACCACTGGGAAAAAAAAAAACAAAAACAAAAAATACCCAAGTATTTGTTTTACTTACAAGTACAGGAGTAATGCTAGCTCTTGTCAGCATCTGTTTCACAAGCCTGTATCTATCATAGAGAGGTTTAACGATGTGCCTTTCTTCCCTGCTCACCTGAAGGAAAACAACAAAAAATACAAAACAAAACAAAACAAAACCAAAGTAACCTTATTATCAGAAACCTAAGATATATATATTCAAAACAGTAAGCAATGATGTCCTCACCAAAATTTAATTTTTTAAGTAGGTAGGTAATCTCCCGACTATAGGAAACAATGGTTGATAAAAATAGATCTGAAGAATACAGACCACAAGGTGATTCATGCTCTTTATAAAGTAAAAAATCAAATCTTTTTAGCAAGATAAGTATTACCGGCCTTCCATGTTGACTTTCATAATAAAGAAGACTCTTCTGGAGAGAAGTTTTCTCTTCTATCAAATGATCTTTTGTCATTTTCTAGAATCAGGGTGGGGGGAAAAGGCATCATTACTCTCCTCACTCCTACAGTGTAGTTAGGTTGAAAGGGCAGACCATCATCTGTATAGCCCATCCCAGGCTAATGCATTCTTTGCTTAACTATTTGCATAAACATTTTTCATTCTCCTATACAATCCTGGTCTACTAATATGTAAATGTCAATACCCTTTGATAGCTTAATTTGTATTTTATTTGAATAAATTATAAATGTTGGTTTGGGTAAACTACTTAATCTCCTTATGTTCAATATCCTAATCTATAAAACGCTAATACTCCATTCTACTGCAAAGGGCTCAAATAAAGATTAAATACACATAAAGGCACTTATATAACAGTACCTACTCAGCAGACAGGGAAACATGCATCAGTTTGTTATTTCATAATGCTGTATATTGTCTTTTGTTAGCATTAAGAATCACGAAAATGTACCTGCCTTTAATCCCAGCACAGGCACAGGCACAGGCAGCAGAGGCAGGTGGATCTCTGTGAGTTTAAGGCCAGCCTGGTCTACATAGCAAGTTCAAGCCAGCTGCAGCTACAGGAAGATCCTGTCTCAAAAACACCAAAAAAAAAAAAAAAAAAATCATGAATGCTTGCATGACATGGGTACACCTACCTACATACAGGCAATACACTCACAGACATAAAATAAAAATAATTAAAACTAAAACCTCCTCAGGAATGTATCAACTTGGAAGAAAACTTGGTATGCCTAAGGTCTTTGGGGAACAAGGGATACACACTTCCTTTACCTCACTTTGGCTGCTTCCATGCATGTTTTAAAAAGAAAAAAAGGTCTGGGCATGGTGGCGCACGCCTTGAACTCTGTGAGTTCAAGGCCAGCCTGGTCTCCATAGCGAATCCAGGCCAGCTGCGGCTACAGGGAGACCCTGTCTCAAAAAAGACCAAAAAAAAAAAAAGAAAAAGAAAAAAGAAAAAAATGAATCATGAATGTTGGGGCTGGAGAGATGGCTCAGCAGTTAAGAGCACTAGCTGTTCTCAGAGAAAATCTGGGTTCAAATCCCAGCACCCACATGGCAGCTAACAACCATCCGTAACTCTACTTCCAGGGAATCTGACACCCTCTTTTGACCTCTGAAGCACTGCATGACATGGATGCACTTACACACATGCAGGTAATATACTCATATACATAAAATAGAAATAATTTTAAAAAAAAAAAAAAAAAAGGATAATGAATGTGGCCTAAAAAGATGGCTCAGCAAGGAAAAGTACTCAATACCTAAGCCTGACAACTTGAGTTCAACGCACAGAACCCATGGTAGAAAGAGAGAGGTGACTTCTGAAAGTTGTCCTCAGACTTCCACGTGTATGCTGTAGAGTGCACACACGATAACTAAAAATAAACTAAAAAATAGTGAACAGGGCTGGAGAAGAAATGGCTCAGTGGTTAAAAGCACTGTTGGTTTTTACAGAAGACCCAGGTTTGATTCCCAGCACCACATGATGGTTAGCAACTGTTCATAACTCCAGTTCCAGGGGATCCAGCACCCTCTCTTCTGTCCTCTGAGGGCTTTGCATGACATAGGTACACTTACATACATGCAGGCATAACACTCATACATATAAAATAAAAATAAAATCTTTTTAAATTAAAAAAAAATTAGTGAACATAGGCCAGGCACGGTAGTTCATGTAGGTAAATCCCAGCACGTCGGAGAGAGAGGTAGGAGGACCATAAGTTTAAGGCCAATCTGGCTTGCGTTAAGACCCATTCTCAAAAATGAAGGACTGCTAATATAGTTCAGTAGTAATGTGCCTGACTTGTGCCCCTGAGTTTAATCAACAGCAAAACAAAAACTCATAAAACAAACAAGACTAGTGGATACACACACACGTCTCACACACGTTCACTGGTTTTACGGCCCAGTAATACTAAGGAAACCCTGAAACCCTGGCAGCAGTATAATAGAAAGAGCCTAGAAAAAAACTCAACAATGTCTATTTGTGACCTCAGACTTCTACTCTACAATCTCGTGTTTTCCTTTGAATGAGCTGACACGTTCTTTTCTTTTTTTTATTGAATTTTTGTGTATTTCATACATATAATCATCTTTATACTCCCTACCCCCTTCCCCTTTGGCCCCCCTCCCATAGCCCCCTCCTCACTGGAGTTCATACATTGTCATTGGTATTAAAGCCTATTATGTAAAGTTAGTGTCCCAAGATGTCCCTCAGTGCAAGTTCATCCACCAGGGTTTAGTCAGCCTATCTAGAGTCTCTCCTTTCAGATCAGTTCTTCTTCACCAAGTAGCAATCAGCTACCAATAATTCTTTGATTAAGATTGGGGCTTGCTGTTCATTTCCACAGTTCTGTGTGGGTTTTTGTCTGCCTAAATGTGCATGGGTCTTGTGCATGCTGACACTATTGGAATTGGTACATTGGTACAGTCTTTATAATGCCTTTTTTAGTGTTCTGAATGGCAGAATTGACAGAACTCCACAAATCTATTTGTTCACAGAATTTGTTCCACAGGCTCACCCATTACCTCAATGAACCATTATGTTCCAAAGGAATACCCTTCAACTAGACGATATAAATTCTTATTTTCAGAAATGATTAACAGTTCCCAATCTCTGACCAGAGAGAAATTAGAAATTAAAAAAAAAAAAAATTCACTGTACAATATCCTGTTAAAAATATCGCTTTAGATTATATTCCTGCAATAGATAACAAAAGTTTACCTAAGACTACCTACCCAGCAATCTCTCCTCATGTATGTCTTGGGTTACCAACTGTTCTACCTGGACTGCCTTAGGGACAACCTTTACTGACTAAGGATTCCTGTATAACGGTTCCTGAATCATGGGGCCTACACCTCCAGGTTCAGTGAAAAAGAGTAATAGAACAGGTCACTGAACATCCTCCTTTGGCCTCTGTGCACACAGGTACATATACCTATACACGTATGTGCACGTGCATATACCACACAAAGAAAGAGTAATGGTTCCTCAGAAAACTTAATTCATTTAATCCTGCTAGCCATAATATCACATGGGTTTGGGGGCTTTTTTTTTTTTGTTTAGTTGGTTTACTTTTTTGAGATAGGGTCTCATGTAGCCAGGCTGGCCTCAAATTTACTATGTAGCTGAGACTGGCCTTGAACTCTTGATCCTCCTTGCCTCTTCCTCCCCAATCCAATATTTCAGGCATGTGCCACTATGCTCAGTTTTCAATGTAATATTTTTAATGTATAATATCACATCTATATCCCTCATAGAATTGTTGAAAGGACCAGGTGACAGAATACATAGTTTATGCCAGATACTAACAGATTAGCACTAAGAGTACAATATACAGCTACCAGATTCAGACTCGGCTATTTCATGCTCTACACACTCATCTTGCCAACTGAACATGAATAAATCCATAACACTCCAGTTTTTTAAGTTCCATTACTGTGATTCAACTCCTGGAAGATCTGGCACTTCTGGAATGTTGATAAAAGCATATTTCTCAGTCTGCAACCTAAGAAGTAGACAAGCCAAAATACCTAGATATCTCTATCCTGCTATGATAATTACTTTGCTTCAGGGGTTCTAAAGGCTATCCTGGGCAGAAACCAAGGATCAACAAACATTACCTTGATATCTTCTGGAAGGCACCTCTCAGCACGTTTTTCCTTCAATCTTTTCATAATCAGTTCAAGAGTTGCTTCCTTAGAAGGCTTCTTCTCTTTCTGAATGACTCTAGGTTCACCTTCATTCTCTTCATCTTCATGGTCTAGAGAAGAGCCAAAACTTTTTGGAAGAGTGTTACTACGTGGACGTGTCTGAGGTACAAATTCTCCATCAGAGTTTTTGTGTTTTGCATCTAAATTTCAGAAAAAAAGAGAATAGGTTAATAATTGATAGTATATAGGCTCAGACATTTCAAAGTTATGCATTTAAATTATACATATAGCAACAGAAGAATTATATTCATCCTTTTAATAGCTGTAAGGAGGCTACTATAAAGCAAGATACTATAATAAGTACTAAAGACAAGTAGTAAACAAAACACATTTTTATGGAGCACACATTAAAGAAGGAAAACAATAATTATACAATTACACAAATAAATTTAGTAATTTCAAAGACTGCTAAGTGTTATGAAAAAGGTAAAAGAGAGGACTGGGGAAATGGCTCAGTTGGTAAAGTTCTTGCTGTGCAAGCATGAGGACCTGAGTTCAGATCCGCCAGCACCCATATGAAAAAAATCAGTGCGGGGACGCACACCTATGATCCCAGTGCTAAGTGAGAGGCGACATAAGTATCCCTGGGGCTTGCAGGCCAGCCAGGCTAGCCAAATAGTGAAATCCAAGTGGGAGAAGACTGCCTAAAAAAATACGAGCATCTTTATTCCCAGTACTCTAGAGGCAGAAAGGCAGGAGGATCTCTGTGAGTTCAAGGCCAGCTGAGGCTACAAATAGACCCTGTCTCAAAAACAACAACAACAAAATACAAGCACTGAATAAAATGAGCATGACTGGGGAAGACAGTCATTGTAGAACTCTGGCCTCCAAATACACCCACACACACACACACACACACAAAGATACAAGTGGGAGTCACGGTGCTAAAAGGAGTGTGCTTTGTGGAGGAGTTTACTACATGGGATTGACAAACAAGGTCTCTCTGAATGATGTCATTCTGGTCTTGAATACAGATTAATAGGAAGAGCTGACCTAGCACAGAAGATTTAAGGGGAAAAGTCATTTGTCCCCAATTGAGGCAAGAGCCTGTACAAAAGTCCTAAATCTTTGCATGTTTGAAAACATAAAATGAAATAAACATGATAAAAATCAACAAAGGGCAGAGTTCAAGGCCTTAAAAGCCATTGTAGAGCTTGGATTTAGAATAATTCTAAATGGAAAGGAAAGCCCATAGAAAGGTTTTAACATGATAAGCCGGGCATGGTGATGCAGGCCTTTGATCCCAGCACTGTGAGATGCTGAGAGATCCAGGCCAACCTGGTAAACATAGCAAGTTCCAAGCCAGCTGTGGCTACAGGGTGATATTGTCTCAAAAAGATCCCTCCGCAAAATTAACATATTTTAAAAAGATAGTTCTGGCCATCTATGTAAAGGATGGATATATGACAGTAAGAGTGGAAGAAAATTAATGACAAAAATTAATGTGGAAACTAGTTTTTTTTTAAATATTTTATTTATTATTTTTATTTTATGTGTACGAGTGTATTGCCTGCAGGTACATTAAGAGCACTCATGTTGTGCAATGTCCGCAGAGGTCAGAAGAGGGCATCAGACCCCCTGAAAATGGAGTTATAGGTGGTTATTAGTCACCATATGGGTGCTGGGAACTACACCCGGGTCCTCTGCAAGAGTAGCCAGTGCTCTTAACAGTTGAGCCATCTCTCCAGGCCTGGAAAGTGGTTTTTTGTTCTTGATGTTTAGTTTTTTGTTGTTGTTTTTTAAATTATTTAATAACCACATACTTAGAAGAAGCATTTCATTACATCAGCATTGACATATTCAATAACAATTTTCTGAACTAGGATGCATCTCCTTCAAAATTGGCTGTATATTTTTAGTTTTACAGTTGAATCATTACAGTTATACAATATTGTACTCAGTATAAACCTTTTAAGACATAAAATTAAATGAGGTTTTAACTTTTAAAAAAGATTTCCATTTCATTATTAAAATACAGAGTTTCATACAGAAAAGTGGTTTTTAAATAATCCTTTAAAAAGGGGGGAAGTGGGGGCTGTAGAGATGGCTCAGTGGTTAAGAACACTGTTCTTGCAGAAGACCCAGGTTTGAATCCCAGCACCCACATGGCAGCTAACAACTGTCCATAACTCCAGTTCCAGGGGATCTGACAGCCTCCTCTATCCTCCACAGGCATTGCACAACACGGGTGCACTTACTTACATGCAGGTAATACATGCATACACATAAAATAAAAATAATAAATAAATTTTTTAAAAGGGGGGAAGTGTCTGAATATTTAATATTATAAACCCTTTCTTTACAAATTTTGTTATTTTTATGTATATGAGTGTATTGTCTGCATGTATGTAAGTGCACTCATGTTGTGCAATGCCCGAGGAGGGTGTAAGATTTCCTGGAACTGAAGTTATGGACGGTTATTAGCCACCATGTGGGTGCTGAAATTCGAATCCAGGTCTTCTGCAAGAGCAATCAGTGCTCTTAACCACTGAGACATCTCTCCAGGCGCCAATAATTATCATTAAGCATACTCAGTAAACACCCACAGAATAAATATATGTTAACAATTGCTAATATGCAAAAATATATGGCACTATATAGTTTAGGGTTTAGGAAGAATTTATAATTTATCAATTAGTTTTTGCAGTGTCAAAAATTCACTACAGGGAGGCTGAAGAGAGGGCTCAGAGGTTAAGAGCACTGGCTGCTCTTGTAGAAGACCCAGGTTCAATTCCCAGCACCCACATGGTAGCTAACAACTGTCTGAAACTCCAGTTCCAAGGGATCCAATATCCTTTTCTGTCCTCCATGAGCACTGCATGACATGGGTGTACTTACATACATGCAAGACATAATACACATCAAAAAAATTAAAATAGTTTTTAAAAATTCACTAAACCTAGGTTTAAAAAAAAAAAATTTGAGAGACTGGAGATGAAACAGGGTCTCGCTCATACTAGGCAAGTACTCTAACCACTTAGATGTACTCCCACCTTCTAAGTATATTCTTTCTTAGATAAAATTTGTACCCTTCCACACCTACCAAAACCCAAAGCTGTTTAATATTTATAATATATTTAAGATAAGCTGTATAATACTAGTGCACCTACGTATAATCTAGGGTATCTTTCAAAAAAATACTACTAATACATTAATACATATAAAGGAAAGACATTTGAAAGAACACAGCACAAGGTTTCCCATCTCTTAGTATGGCCTTAACTAATAATAGAACAAAGGAAAATTTATTTTTTCAAAAAAGTTCCATGATTTAAAATGGTCAAAAAATTTAATTCTCACAGAATTATAAAGAATGTTTTAAAAACACAGATTTTCTACAAAATGCACATTTTCTACCTTTAATTTGCTTCCGAAGTTTGGTAAGCTCTGTCATCCATTTTAATACCTTCGGGTTAGCTGCAATATCACTGTAGGAAGGCTGAAAAATTAAGGACTTGTGATAAGCAAGTTAATTTATTCCGTGAGAACATGTGTGACAGGCAAAGGTCAATTTCAGGTGTTTTTATCAGGTGTCCACCTTGTTTTTTGTTCAGTGTTGAAATTTATCCTTTTAACAAACTATATCACAAGAAAAATTAAACATTGGGTTTGACAAAAGTTTAAAAAAAAAAAAAAGTATTTATGGTTCCAAGAACAAAAACTTCAATCAATCCTCATTTTAATTCACTAGGGCAGGATATTAAGTAAAAGCTCTTCCAAAGCAGGGTCAGACAACTGACCCAGATTTGAACACAGGTCTTCTGTTTCTAGGTATTAGACTATTTCTACTTCACACAGCTCTAATTATTAAAACACACACACTTTCTCTCCCACACTCTTTTCTTTTGGCATTTGTGGGTTTTGTCAGAGCAGAAATATGATTTGTTAAAGAATTTGGTTTAAAAATTTTAATAAGGGGCCAGGCATGGTAGCGCATGCCTTTAATCCCAGCAGGTAGGTCTCTGTGAGTTCGAGGCTGGCCTGTTCTACATACTGAGATCCAGGCCAGGGGGAGGGCTACAGGGAGACCCTGTCTCAAAAACTCAAAAAGTAAGACATAAAAAAAAAATCTAAAAAGTGTTTGTTAATGGAAACATAAACATGCAATGGTGCAATGGCAAGAATATTGGCCCAGAAATCAAAGGAACTAAGGATTTGTTGGCTCTCATGTGTATATAATCATGGTTTCTCTAGCATCTGAGATTCTCTCCCTCCCTTCTCTCTCCTCCCCCCACTCTCTCTCCTCTCTCTCTCTCTCTCTAAGAGCTGGAATAATGGTCTTCAAAGTCCCGCCTCTCAATGCTGGTATTAAATCAAACTTGGTCTAGGCAGTGCTACAAACTTACCTTGCTATTTCTTTCCCTTTCAAATTGCTCCTCAAATTGTTTGATTTTTTTCTGAAGTTTCTTGACCAACTGATAAGGTGTTCTGTCTTCTCTTTTTTCATCTTTTGAACTAAAGGATGATCTTCGAATTCTGAATTAAAACAACAGGCCAACACTGTGTATTAAACTTTCATGTATCAACACTATACTATTTATTGCCCTGATAAACTACTATTACTAATAAGGGCAACTTAAAAGTGAAATTAGGACAAGAAGGTTCAGCAGGTAAAGATACTTTAATTCCATCTATGAAACCCATGTAAACGTAAAAGCAGAGAACTGACTCCACTAAGTTGACCTCTTGACTTCTGACCTCAACACGAGCACTGTGGCATGTGTGCTCACTCCCCAATAGGAAAAAAGTTTTCAAAAGCAAAGTTAGGGCTAGTCTGGTGAGATGGCTCAGTGGGTAAAAGTGCTTACCACACAAGCCTGCTCACTTCAGTTCAATCCCCAGAACCCATAGTAGAAGAATGGACCCCTGAAATTTATGCTCTCGCATCCACTGGTGAACTGTGACATGCACACCCCTATGTGCAAACACACACACACATATAGAAACAATAATTTTTTTTTTTTGGGTCTTTTTGAGACAGGGTCTCCCTGTAGCTCCAGCTGTCCTGAAACTCCAGGCTGGCCTTGAACTCACAGAGATCCTCCTGCCTCTGCCTCCCAAGTGCTGGGACTAAAGGCGTGGGCCAGCACGCCCGACCAAATAATAATTTTTGAGTCAAATGAAATCTCTAACACTAAAGGACAGCTAATAAAGAAATCAGCTAACACAACTGGTAATACAGAGTCTGGAATTCTTTAAAACTTGTTTGAACAAAATCAGAAAAGAAAGGTATCTAACAGCTCTGAGTTCTAGGTGTTCAATCTACAACAGCTGACATTCAGAATCAATGTTAAGATGTTTTTAAGTTTCCACAAAAATCTATTTTATAAACTTGTAATATAAAAATCAAATACATTTTATCAATAACTCAAACACATCTAACTGGGAGTGCTTATATTTTAGAAGATTAATCCAAAAAAAAAATGTGGAGAGGTGGTTGAGACACGGTCTCACTGAAGCCCCAGCTGGCCAAGACCTCACTAAGTACAACAGGCTGGTCTCAATCTCACAGTGTGCCTGCCTCTACCCCCCCCCAGTGTGCCACCATACCAGGCTCTAAATATATATTTTAGCCAAATGTGGTAGCAGATGCCTTTAGCTCCCCCCGGCAGCCCCAACTCAGGAAGCAGAGGCACGCAGATCTCCATGAATTTGAGACCAGCCTGGTCTACAAAGGGAGTTCCATATTCGCTGGGCCTACACAGTGAGACTTTGTCTCAAACACAATAAATTATACACACACATTGTAAGAGCATTGGCTGCTCTTTCAGGTGACCTAGGTTAGGTTCTCAGCACCCCTTGGCAGCTAACATTCATCCATAACTCCAGTTCAGGGAATTCAATACCCTCTTTTGGCATCTGCAGACATTGCCAGAAGTACTGCACATGTAGGTAAAACATTCATACACATAAAAATTAAAAAGAAAAATTTAAGAATATTCAGAACAGTTGCCTACTCTTACAGCATTTGGAAGTACATGTCATGTTAACCCTTATTTTTTTAATTTATTTTTTATTTTATGAATGAGTGTTTTGTGTGCATTCATGTATGTAAATGTACCATGTGCATGCAGTGGTCTCAGAGGTCAGAAAAGGGCATCGGATTCCCTGGAACTAAAGTTACAGAAAGTTGTTAGCCACCATGTGGGTGCTGGGAACAACCCAGATCCTCTGTCAGAGCAGCCGGTGCTTTTAACCTCCGAGGCATCTCTCCAGTCCAGCATTTTCTTTGTACGTGTGTGTCTGTGCATCTGAGTGCAGGTGTCTGTGGAGGCCAGAGGCATCTGATCACCCTGGAACTGGAGGTACAGGGGGCTGTTAGCAGCTCTTAACCCCTGAGCCTTCTCTTCAGCCACACACATGCTCCATTAGCTCTTAAGACAATAAAACTCTTTTCATTGTTGTTCAATAAAAGAAATTTGAGGTTTTCTAATAATAAAACACATGTAAACTAGAATTTTAGGACTGGGGATGTAGTTAAATGAGCAGACTGCTTTCCTAGCATATAGAAAACTCTGAGTTTGAGCCTCTACACCACATAAACCATGTCTGTTGTATGCACGCCTATAATCCCAACATGCAGGAGGTTCCTGTCATTAAATAAATAAGCAACTTAGAATTTTATACTTTCTGAAAAGCTGCTTTTATTAACCAAAGTACGTTTGCACTCATTTTACCTGTGAA